TGTAAGACAATCCTTGGGGATGGGAAAACAACCATTATGGAAGACAATTGAGGAGGAGACATGAAATGAAGGACCCATTGATTGAAGGCAAAGGTTTCCTATACAGACCAGAACCATCCGAGGCAAGCCCCTATGAGTGTAGGATACCCACTGATAAGGGCAAAAACTCCAAGTGTTCCAACAGAATCTGAAGCTGGATGTCTGGAAACCTTAACTGGAGATGCAGTAAATTGTCAGTTAGAAGACTGGGAAAGGCAGGAAGCTAGTGTCTAAAGAAAAAAGGTGGAAATGGGCCACATCCAACCAAAATTCCAGGAATTCTGGAATACCTACAAAAATTGAATGTCTGAGAAAAGGAGCTTCTCCAAGACCTGTAAGGGCTGATGAAGGAGGTTGATTACCTTTGAGCAAGACATCTCTCTCCAAACGATCCCAGCAACAAGCCAACCAAGAGACCAAGGAGAGAGCAGAAGCCGAAAACCTTACCAAAGTAGAAGTCAATAAATGACTAAAATCCTCTTAAAAATGAGCAGGAGACGTATGAAAGGCCTCAGGCAACACTTCAAATGAAGATAAAAAATGCAAAACTGTTGTAATGGACAGTCTAATCCTGGTGAACTGAGTGAGGTTAAGACAAATAGAGGCATCAGGCCTAGAACTCCAAAGAGGAAGAAGAGGAAGAAGAGGATCCAACCTCTGAGAATCTAAATTTGGGTTCTCCAAGTGATGGAAAGCTGAAGCATGCTGATCTGATAAATGGGGAGGAAAGGCGTGGCAGCAGTCTCACTCAATTGATCCATAAATCCCCAAGCATGCACAGCAAGGTCTGGTGAAGGTGGAGAAACTAGGTAATCAGCCAAATAACTTTCTCCCTACAAATAAGGAGAAGAGTTGTAAGCCACAGGAGAAATATCAAGACATCATAAACTTGATGTACTAGTTGCAAAAACTGGTGCAGGAGATTAAATGTCCTTCAAAAGCTTGTGATTAGCTATTTAAGCAAAGGAAGGAACAGTCCAATTTTCACCAGTCTGCCCCCCAAAATTCGGCTTCTGTGACTACAGGAGAAGAAACATCAGACCTCACGTAAGGCTTCACCTATCTTCTTATGAGGGATTGGACATCCACCATGAAAAGGGATCACCCTTGACGCCCAGGCAATGCTAGACTCCAGATTGACAGATTAGGAGCACTAGGAGACTCTGTATCAGAGACGTGAATGGGAGAATTTATATCCAAAACATGTCAAATTTTTATTTCTTTTTATTGCAAATAAAGAAAATAGACAATAAACTAAAAATCCAATAATACAGGTAAAAAAAAAATCATCCAAAGTGTAGGTATAACAAAAGTTATACAACACATAAGAGAAACCAGCAGCATGCATTTAAAACCTTTGATGTAATGTTCTGTCATCAAGAAAAGTAAATAGGAAGTAATAACAGGAGACTTTTATATGGATCTGGTATAGGTTGGTTGGTTGGTGTTTTATAGCGCAAAGCAGCTAAGCTATCTGCGCCAAACAACCGGTAAAAGCAATGAAAGTAGATTAAAGTAAAATATAAAAAAAACAGCAAGTTAAAATCAATACATGTCGGTAAAAGATTTATATAGAATTAAAAATACCTATAATGTGTAAAAAATTAAAAATACAATCTAATCGGACAGTGTCACCATTACCAATGACACTGTCCAGCGTCAGGGGTAAACTTTTAGAAAAAATGTGTCTAAAATGGTGCCACCGCTCATGGTCGTTACAACGACAGGACAGTAAAATGAGGGCTATTGTGACTTGAGTGTCACAATGGCTACACATCGGTGGGTCAGTACCTGATAAAAGAAAACGATGGGTTAAAAAACTATGCCCAATGCGTAGCCTTGCCAGGAC